GGAAAGAGAAATTTCTGGATCTGCCTAAAGGAAACCAAACATGTCTTAAAACAAGCAATAATAAAAATTAAACACAAACTAAAACTTGGTACTAAGAGTCTGCTGACATTCATGACTTCTTCTGAGAATATTAAAGAATGTTGACAGACTAACAAATTCAAATAAATTTGGCCCCATATAATCTCATCCACTCTCAAAAAATATTCTAATGCCAACGCAGTTCCAAAAAGTGAAAAATTGTAATTCTCAGTGTTCTCAACAAAGATGGGAGTGAAAACTGATGTGCTTGGCAATACCTATTAAAATTTTAAATGTTTAAAAAACACACTCTGACCCAGTAATACCACTTCTACAAATGAATTCTATAGAAACTTTCTCACCTGTGTATGAAATACATAAAAGGATGTTCACTGAAATAATAAAATTATAAACCATACATTCTTTAACAAGGAGAAACAATTTTATACCTCTCTAATGGATTACCACACAGTCACTGAAATGTGGTCCTTCCCAATACACTTCCTTGGCAAGATTTACCATATGTACTGATAAGATTAAAAAAATTTTAAGAAGACTGGTATACACTGGTACACCATCCATTTTACCACTGTCAAGAGTCTGGTAGAAAATCAGGAGTATATGAGGGTCCATGAGAATAACCTAGGGAGACCCTTTCCTCAAATTATAAATGCCCTCTACCTATCCTATTTAAAATAAGTGTTAATAATGGCAATGTTTAATATTTGGAGGGAAGTTACATAGCCTCTGCTTTTTGAGTAAGAGTAGGTACTTTTCAAACCTACCATGAGACAAAATATACAAAAGCAAAGAACTTTTAATGAAAATGACTGACACATTATGGAGGTTCTTAACTGAATTCCATTTAACCAACCTGCCAGATGAACAGAAGCTTTCCAGGTCCTTGTAAAACATAGCTGCTGAAACCCCATGGCATATGGAATCTACCCATTGGTGGGCTACTGTGCAGTACATGTCTATTTCTGCTTCTACGAGATGATGTGTGTGCTTACCCACAGTCAGTTAGTTGTATTGGCTCCCAAACCTACTTATTCCAGTTACTATAAACTAAGCATTTTAACACAGTCTTTCATAAAATGGTAGAAAGTTGTTCTTTCACTAAAAACAAGTTGAACACTGAAAAGACTCAAAAATTACTGTAATTAGGTACAGACAAGGCAAATATGAATTAAAAACAAGGGGGGGATATAATGAAAATCTAAGGTCCTGCATGGAAGATGTTTTACAAAGTTTTTCTTTACATGTAAAAGAAAGTGAAACTGGAAATTATACCCCATGTATGACACAAGGAAGACATAATTAAGGAACCCACAGAAAAAACAGTAGCCCTAGATGAATATCACTTGTTAATGCCCCACTGTAACCAACTTTGATTAAGCAACTACTAGTGAACCTGGTCTCACTGGATTAAGAGAGCTTTTAGTAACATTATTTCAAAAGCAGCAATGAAAAATTTTCCCCATCACAATTCAACATGAAATGGATGATAAAAATTCCTATGGAAATGGTCTGTCATATCAGAAACCAACCCAGTTAAAAACAGGATAAGCAAAATTGTGAGATTACTTACCTACAGTAGCTCTAATCAAAGGAGAGGAGTCACCGATATTGTTTAAACATTCACTCTTAATAAAGTCTGTTACACCATTTGGGAAGTTCTGAAAGTGTGCTTTCACGTTATTCTTCAAAATTAGACCACTCAAAGATCTTGTGGGTTCATCTGTAACAAAATAACAACAGCACTGAGTTTTAAAGTAGTTTTCATTTCAAAATATACCAAGAACGGTAACTTTAAAAATGTATTCAGAAACTGATTGTAACATTTCATTAATTTGCTATAACCAGGAAAAAAAATACCATAAATGATTATCCAAGGATTAGCTCCATGATTTATAGTTCAGGGTTTCTCAACCTTGGCACTATTGACACTTTGGGCCAGGTAATTCTTTGTTGAGGAGTGCTGTCCTGTGCACTGTAAGATGTTTAGCAGTATCACTGGCCATAGGTGCCAGTATTACCTCTCCAAGTTGTGACAACCAAAAGTTTCCAGATAATGTCAAATGTCTCATTGGGCAGTGGACACACACACACACACAACTGCACCTGGTTGAGAACCACTGATTTAATTTAAGAGTTAATTTAGTTTATATATGGCCAATGTACTCAAGCTTTATTGGAACTTGATATAAACATCAAATTACAGATCTGAAAGTATTAGTCACTAAAGATATCCTATTAAAAAATTAAGTGGACAAAGAACATATGGGATCACCTTCACATACAAATAACTGCCGTTCATTTATATCATGTTTTTCACTTGCCTCTGAGCTAAAAAAAAAAGGGGGTGGGGAGTAAAACAATATTTAAATTTCCAGAAGTTTTTAAAAAATACAGTCTACGTAAAAGAAGTTTAATCCGTAGATAGTACTAACAAATTTTCCAAGAACCAATTTAATATTAGAATATAACCAATGCTTTAACAATTGGCCTCATCACCAACAATATTAGCAACAGTTAACATTTTCTGAATGTTTATTAGGTACTAAACACTGCTAAGTGCTTTCCAAGTAGTTTGCATTTAATCCTCACAACCTCATGAGACAGGAATTATTATCTCCACTGCACAAACAAGGAAACTGAGGCCTTTGCCAAAGTCACACAAGACTACGAAGTGGGGAAGCCAAAACATCAACCTTAGGAGTCTGGCTCCAGAGCCTACACTCGATGCACGGTACAGGATCACCCTCCTCAAAGGGCTGAAAGATATGAACAGCTGGTGTATTGAACACAATATGCTGTTTCAGCACTACTGTTTTACATACTTTATTAAAAAATAAAACCACCCAAGCTTGTTCTAGTTAGTAGTATGCTCTCAAAGTCTGATTGGCATTGAAATCTTCAGGGGTACAGGACAGGAGGAGGCAAAAAGACTGTTTCTTTGCATATAAACCCCATTGAAGCCATCACAGCAATAGAGCCTATGAGCTTTTTATGCCACCCTCTAAAAATTTCTTCCTGGTTTCAATTACCATCATTCAATCAGTAACTTATAATGAAACAAAAACACTTCTAAATTCTCTTGAAAGTTTAAAACTTCCATAAAATAAATGAATATTTATTTAACTTTATAAATTTAACTTCCTCGAGCAATAAGCTTTTCTTAAGCCAGCCATTAATAATTCAGTCATGTAATTTTAAATGGCATGTGTATTTGTTTATAAGAAATACACTGTATCATTTTTACAATTAAGACTACAAGATGAAGTTTTAAAAAAATCACGAGGTGTGAGCTTCCCTGGTGGCGCAGTGGCTGAGAATCCTCCTGCCGATGCAGGGGACGCGGGTTCACGGCCCGGTCCGGGAAGATCCCACATGCCGCGGAGTGGCTGGGCGCGTGAGCCATGACTGCTGAGCCTGCTCGTCCGGAGCCTGTGCTCCGCAACGGGAGAGGTCACAACAGTGAGAGGCCCGCGTGCCGCAAAAAAAAAAAAAAAAAAAAATCACGAGGTGAAATGATTTAAAATTAAAAACATAAAACATTTTATATCAAAATACTTATTTTAATTAAAAATATCCCCAGTCCCAAATTCACTTAGAAGAGCCAAAAATTAACCACGTTCTCTTTTTAAAAAGACTACTAGGTCTCAATTCTCATCTGTAAAGTGAGGGAAGTAGATGAGCTGATCTCTGAGGTCTCTCCACATCTAAAATTTTACTCCATGATTTAGTGTAAACAAATTCACATGAGGAATGGCAAAAAGGTTCCTAAATAAATAAGCATTTTCATTTCAAGAATTTACTTATGTTCCTTCTCTAATATGGATGGCCACAATGCTAATTTTTTAAAATAGAAAACTAGATATAGCAAACTTGTGTCCCAAATAAATGAATAAACACAGGAAGAAATACTAAGTATCACATAAAATCCTTTCCAGCATTTTGTGGTTTTGCAATTAATAGGTCTTTTGGGAGGCAGTTACACACCCAACTTCTCCTGCTATTTGAATTGTAAGTTTGTCTGCTTTTAAAAATACCTGATGTATCCTCATAGCCCAAGAAAGTTTTAAGAAAGAGTATAATATTATACCAATCTTAATATTTGGAATTCAGGATGAAGACATGACAGAATAGACGACTTGGTGAAAACAAACTTAAAATTTTCAAGTTAAACAATATAGTTTAGAAAAATTCATTTACTAAATCTTTAAGTCCTTATAGAATTATCTGATTACAACTAGAATGTGGGAAAAATAAAATTTCTATATTAAGAAATAACACATCACATTAATGTATGTTTATCAAACTAGGAATATTAATTGCTGAATGTAAAGATATGTTGAAGGACTTTCTAGTTTCTTAAAATTTAAAAATTTAAAAAGTTTCTCTTACATGCCTCAATCACAAATTAAAATCCCTAAAATTAACTAGAAAATTTGAAAAAATTCAAAATAAATCATTATACTGTGCATGAATTATTAAAATCTGAATAAATACAAGATTAGTGAGATTTTAAGACCGTTAACCCACTCGCTAGTGCTTGGAGTTGAAACCTTATGGACAGTCTGATAGGCTAACACAAGCATTTTGTAGCTGAAAAAAGCAAAAGAGGTGAAATGAGTGTCAGAGTCTAAGACTTATTTCTCAACTCCAAGTGTAGTAGTTTTTACTAATTGCACTATGGCTTCTGAAACGGTATAGTGCTTTCATTTAGAGGCCAGTCAGTTGCTCAAAAAATACTTGAGTGCTTCTGGGTGTCTGACAATGTTCCAGGAAGGGAATACTCAAATAACTCTATGAAGAACACCTGTCACTACAATGTAAGCGCCACGAGGGTAGATTCTCACTTATTTTGTTCACTTTTATTGCCCCTGAGCGAGCAAACTGCCTGGCAGAGAGGTGCTGAATAAATACTTGTAAAATGAATAAAGTCGAGATGGACACACTACTTGTATTAGAAACAATCAAATGATCGTGTCATTTAAAAATCAGATGATCATGTCATTTAAAAATCAGGCTGTTATAGAGGTAATTTAAAACTGTTGTAGAATAGTTAATGAAAAAGTTTCATGTATACTGTTACAAGGTTTAAAAAAGTTACAGGAGTCTATAAATAGAACGATCCTTTTTCTGGTTAAAATTTAAAACAGTACATAGCCATATAAAGGAGTATAGAATTAAGAGATTAACAATTGTCTCTGAGTGATGGGATTATACATGACTTTTCATTTTGGTTATATGAACTTTTAATCATACAAATACGATCACACATATAGTCAGTTATTTAGCAAATCCTGCATTCAATCTGTGTATTAAAAGAAATCAATCTCTATGACATTCATGTAAAAGGATTGAAGCAAAACACCAAAGTAGACTTTGCAACATTCTTTTCATTTGCAAAGAATGAGTGAATTTATTACAAAAACACTCAATTAACAACTGAATGCTTATTAAGCATCCAAAAGCTTAGAGTGATAGTAACTCTTTCATTCCACATGTTTAAAGCAAGTGGGTTACTACAAAGTGAAATCCTTTGAAATAAATAACTCTTCGTATATTTTAACACATCTCAAAGACAAAATTTGAAGTGTAAGAAACTTTTAAGTAGTTACCAACACAAACCCTACTTACCTTCAGATTTTAATTTTGTAAGAACAAAAATCAGGTAGTTGTTAAAGTCTGGATATTGATTGAGTTGTTCCAGTTTCTAGAACAAACAGTAGTTAAGGAAACTTCTCAGTGTAATCTAAGGAAGGAATTAGGCAGTTTTAACCTAAAATCAAGAATCTCTTTTGTGATTTATAGCCTTGCATTTTTTCCAGTAAGAATAAAAGTTATCTTATTAAAACCATCAATATGCTATTCCAAGAACACACCAATGGTTGTGTTAAACCTCTTGTGCGATTTATGGCTGAAATATTAATATTTTACATCAATTATATTCAAGACAAAATAAGCCAAGCTCCACCTTCAGCAAGGCGCATATCATATGAAAAAAATTTTCAAAACAATTTCTTTGATTTATTTGAACTTAAAAAAAACCCCTAATCAGAAAGGTATTTAAGTATTAAATAATGACAAAAATGAAAAGCATCTCAAAGAAACAAAAACAAGTCTCTCAAAGATCACTTAGGGAAATTAACTTTATAAAATCGCCTTTTAACTTAAAGTGCTTTTATTAGACTCATTTGTTCTTTAGAATTCAAAAAGTTAAGATAAAATGCTATTTATGTGCAAGTCTACATTATCAAACCTTATAACAGTCAGTATTATAAAATTACCACACTGCAACAGTTCTACAGTTCTGCCCCCCACCCCCCAACAAGACACCTAACGTTTCCAGTGACACCAACGTGCAGGCATTTCATTCTGTTGGCAGGCAGCAATGACATAATGCTCTACTATGTCTTTCTTCATGCCCTCTAATCCCTAACATGCTTTTTAATAACATCTCTAATTGTGTTTTATTAAACAGAATTTTCTCAATAGACCTAAATCTTTAAATTAAATCCACGATACACACTCTAGAAACACCATATTAGCTACTTATTATACACTAGAATACTCTCAGCGCTCAGTGCTCAGAACATAAATTAACTATCAAAATACATTTCTCTAGAAAAATTCCAAAGTGTACTTTCTTTGACCAAAAAAACCCTAGTGATTTCTTTCTTTCGTGAATAGCCAAGATTAACAGCATGCTGATAAGCTAATAATCTTTTATAAATATTTCCTGATAAGGTTCACTTTCTTAGGACTTGAGCTATCTATCCATAATAGTATAACGATCTTTCTGGAAGTGCTCAAGCCTATACAAAAACAATAATTACATTCCTTCCAAAGGAGACATAAAAGAACAAAGTCATTATTAGGCACTCTGAAAATATAAAGCAGTGAGTATTTTTAAAATACTATTAACCTTTATCTACTGAAATTTAATTTGTTCCTCATGCAGAGGGCATACTATGCTCCAGGCACACAGAATAAACCGTAAATTTGATTCCTAGCGCACGCATAGTACTGAGCATATGAAAGGTACTTAATAAATATGTACTAAAACAAAAAATTATGACATACAGTGCTGTACAAGAAATTACAATGCAGGTTTGGGACTGGCTAACTTAAGAAATTAACTGTCACATAGCACCTACAATTCATCAAATATCAACTTTTATCATTTCTACAGCTATGACAACACAAATTAAGACTGAGCCACAACAATGTTTCAAATACAAGCTCCAATACACCCCAAAAAGACTATTCTTCCCTCAGTACTCGCAGTATACAAGCGAAATGGCTTAAAAAAAACCAAACAAACCAAGTAGACCTAAATCATTAACACCTCCATTTTAAAATAAGCAGTATTAATTAACCAAAAGGCTAGATACTTACCTACTGAAAAGTTTTAAGTTACAGCAATGTAGTACTTCTTTGAGAAACTTATTTACCAGAACTTCTCAAGTAACTGTATTTAACTTGTTTATAGTGTTTTAAATTTAAATACGTCCAAACTACGCCAAAAGAGCTTACTTACCAAATTCCATACTAAGCAATTTTCCGTTTATTAACAATAAAAATTAAAGAGTTTTTTTTTTTTTTTTGCAAACAGCAGACTTAAGTTTCCTAAACAATTAACTTCGTCTTAAAATAAGAGATAAAACGGTTATTTCTGATCGGGTGAATTTGTTTCCCTTATTGGATGCAGCAAGAGCTCTCCATTTGACCAGTTTAGGGCACTACAGAAAGCACACAGTAGAGGTTTTGCTTCTTCTCTTAAGCCTTCCTGCCTCTAAATCCGTAGTAATAGGACCAGCAAACTCGGTAAAGACTTGGTAATTGAGCAGACCGTCTTGAGCCAAAGATTTAAAAAGAAAATCTCACTCGGGAGGCAGGGAGCTCGCAACAGGTGCTGGCACGAAGAGCCCCGGGGTGAGGCGTGAGACCCCTCACTTCTTGGTTTCCAGCCCTTCCGGGCAAGGGCCTGGCAGAAACCCCAGGCCCAACACCCAGGAGGTTCAAACCCCGCGCCAGCTCCACCCCACTCAGGCCGCCGATCTCCGCCGTGCATAGAGCGCTCTGCCCGCCGCCCCCTCCGCGCATTGTGTGGGCCGGGGCGTCGGTCGGGGGTCAGCGCCGGCACCCGGCTGCTCCGCTCTCCACCCCCTCAGCCGGTCAGCGGCGGGCGGGGACGTGACGGGCGGCCGACTCACATGTCGCGATCGCGGGCGACGGCCAGCAGCCCCCAGCTTCCCGCAGGCCGGAAGCCGGCGGACGCTGCGGCGCTCCGAACCGGAGGCACGAGGGCCGCGTGCGCGAGGCGGCGGGCAGGGGCGGCGGCGGGCGGGCCTCTCCTCACGGGCTGGCGGACGGAGGGCGGAGGGATCCGGAGAGCGGGAGGAGGGGGAGGGGCGGCGGGAGCCACCCGGCCGCCGAGAGCGGGCCCCGCGCTGGGCAAGCTGCGCGGGCGGCGGCGAGGCCTCGGAAAGGATACTTGTTGCACGGTTCTCTGGATGGTGGTGTCGGGGGACTGGGACTCCTTCAGCAGCTGCAGGATTTGCTGAAGCCCTTGCTCGTCAGGTTTCCACTCATACTCCATCTTGGTTTGCTGCAAATAAAGCCAGACACAGGAAGAGACGGAGCAAATGTTACTCCCCGTGCACAGGCCCGAGGGCTTCCCGCGCCAAGCACCCCCCTCCTCCCCGCCAGAACGACCCCTGCGCTCTCCGGACGCCTCGGACCTGCCTGGGGCACCCCGAAAGAAGTCTCGGACGGTGAAACCTGGGGAAACTGATCCTAGCAGCTCGGCCGCTAATATCTGCTGCTGCTGCCGCCGCGGCCGCCGAGCGCAAGGAGCCGACCAGACTGAGTCACCGCGAATTTGCAATCTGGCCCCTAGATCCGCTCACGGGAGCCCCCTGGGTCCTAGTGCCACGCAGTTTTCTCCAACCCAACTCTAGTTCCATCCAGATTATTACTGATTTAAGGGCTAATCAAAAATCAAGTCCTTATCAAAATCCCTGCGAATCACCTGAAGAGATCTGATTTTGGGTTTCAGTCATTTTAAGTTAACATGGTTAGTAATTAAGAATGACTGTAATAAGGAAAAAAGCCTGATAATTCCGACAGCTCAACAATACTTAAGGAGAAGAAATAAAAATGTTTACATTTCAGTTTGATATATAAAGCACTAAATACTAATATTTAGTCTAAAACATTAAAGATGCATTGCAATCACAACCCACACTTCGATAAACACTACATGTTGCACTTACATTTGCATAATTTGACCGAAAAAATGCATCCTTTCATAAACTTCAACTTTTGAACTCTTTATTAAGAGTTCTTTATTATAAACTCTTTATTAGTTTATTTCAGGTGAAATAAACTCCACCTGAAATAACCGCATTTCACAACTAATAACTTTGGGCTGAAGAAATACATGAAAAATAACGCAATTTTACAACTGGATAGTGCTGAATTCTATTAACGTGTTTTCACATGCGTTTTCTCATTTTATTATCACTCCGACCGGAGGAAGTATTATTTGCCCCCATGTGGCAACTATGGAGCAAAAAGATCAAAGGAAATTACAACAGTTAATTAGTTAAGATTGGGAGGACAATATAGGTTTCTTAAACTACCATGAGTTGCATCTGCTACAATCAATGGAAACTATCATATCAATGACAGTTTCTTTAAAACTAAATGCTTGTAAACAAAAACAAAACTTAAGTATCAGGCATGAATAATTGTAAAAATGAAACTGAATTTGCTGAAGGAGAGGATTTTTTCATATGGATCTACTACTACTTGATGGTTTGACAGCTGAATTTAGTCCCTTCCTAGCAGGGGTTAAAAAAAATTACCTGACCTTACAGTACCTCTCTAGTTAGCAGTGTTTTTCTGTTTTTAAAAAAACCTTTTCCTCTCTCCTTCTTCACCTTTATTTTCTGCTTAATATCCTGTAATCTGGCTTTGCTCACTAAATTCTACCAACTTCCTAAATGATCCAACACCCAAACAAAACCCCCCAAAACAAAAATGATATCTGGACATAATATCTATTAATAATATTGTACTGTTTTTAATTCCAGTCTCCATTCTGTGTGTTTATATGTTTTATAATAATGGGATTGTCTTGTTTCTTGGCCAATTCCATATATCATTAAGTATTAAAAGTATTTTTAAAAGAATTATTCCATTGTATTGACATGCCATAATTTTAATAAACTTTCAATTGATATAATATATACAGTAACCTGTACAAATCATAAGCATACAAGTAGATAGATTTTTATAAAGTGAATACCTATGAATACCTGTGTGACCAACATCCACATCAAGATAAAGATCATTACCAGTACCAAGGTTTCTCTTGTACCCATTCTCGGTCATCAACCCATGCCATAATCCCTATTATAATTTCTATCACTATAGACCTCTCCCCTTTCCCTCTTGACTTTTTTACTTCAGAAACTTCAAAAAAACTTTACAAAAACAATATTACAACAAATCAAACAACATGGTTGTACAAAATAGTTAATTCAATTTCATCACTAAGCTTACCTCCCTGACAGAATCAGTTTTAACAGTTTGATATGAATCCTTCTACACCTTTCTCTATTCTCAAACATACACATAGTTCTGGTTTGTTTTTTAGGATCATGCCACATACTACACTCTATTAACTAAAAACTTTAAAACACATAATATTGCATGGCTATCATTCCAGGCCACTACATATAGATTTAACTTTTCACTTTTTAACAGTTGCACATTGGTCTTTAGAATGGATAGAACATAACTTGTTCAACTATTTCCTGATTGGCTTCCAGGTTGCTTCTACTTTTTTGTGACTACAAACAACAAGGCAAAAAACATTCTTGTACTAATGTCCCCCTACCCAGTAATGGCAACCCAGTGAGATTATTAGGCCAAAAGTATGTGTATTTAAAAATTTCTAATAGTTATTACCAGGTTACTTTCCAAAAACAGTTGCAATCCACACTCACCAATAATATGTTTCCCATATATCCACCAGCACGTTCTTTTAATTTTGGTTAATCTAATGGGTGAACATTTTAAATTTCTCCTGTTCCTGGACGGGGGAGGGAGTGGGTGAAGAGAGGGTGAGGAACCTTAAAGTCTGAGCCTTAGTTATGAGTTGAGCTGCTACCATATATATCCCACCTGTTGAGGTGACAACTGGATACCTACTTAACTCCTTAGCTGCCTTTCTGAAAAAGAAACTAATGCCAGGGGCCAAGAGGAGCCAAGTCCAAAAGATACCTTCATCATACCTATCCTGAGGATGGCTGCCCCATATCATTACCATGCTTCCTTCTTTATCCCTGCATCAAATAAACAGAATTCTTTTTCTTTTTGAATAGCTTAGTATTAAGAACATTTAATGTGATCAGCCTGTGATGATGAGATAGGAAGAACTGAGATAAACTGTTCCCTCACACCTTACTCAAGTTATCTGGAACAAAAGGCTCTCAAAAATATTTGATTGTTAATTGCTTGATAAGAGATCTCAGGCCACTTTGAACTTCTATACCACATTTTTTAATTGTGGTAAAATATACATAATAGAAAATTTAGCATTTTAACCATTTAAAGTGTACAGTTCAGTGGCATTAAGTACATTTTCATTGTTGTACAACCATTGCCACCTCTATCTCCAGAACTTACCACATCTTAGTAGCCATTAAAATTAGGAAGAATCTTACCCTAGGGTAGCCAGAGATATCGCAGGGTTATTTACATAATGTCTGAAATACTTCAAGCTAAGCAAGCACACCAGAATTATGAGGTAGAGATCGTTTACTTAGACAGTAAACTACATGTATATTAATTAGAATATCAAGATTAATATTAAATTTTCTTAAAATAGTTACTATTCTTTTCGTACATTGAAGACTCAGAAATGTTTCAGAGAAGGGAAATAGCACTTCAAAGTTTTCTCTTTTAGAGTACACAGATCATGCTGATTGGCCCATGACATTCAATGGTAAGTCCCCGCTCCCCCACAAAAGGCATTTCAATAAGCCAAGACAGTTATTTGAACTATCTATACAGAAGCTGGCACCAGAATAAAAAGCTTGCAAGAGGTAAGTTACTGTAAGATAACATCTTGGTCTTCAGAAGACTAAAACTTACTCTAGTCCTAAACTGTTAAGAACTTGAATTTACATTAAAAATTTGAATTTACTAGAGTTTATGAGAGGTAAAGAAGCCAGACTGGTTGGAGTAAAAATAAGGCAGACAGAAGGTCTGGACTCAATCAACCTAAATTTAAATCCTAGTTCTTTCACTTAGTAGCAGTGAAAACCTGGGCAAGTTAATTAATCTCTCTGAGCCTCAGTTTTCCAACTATAAAATGAGAACATACTGACTCTGTAATAGGATTATAGATACTTGCCTGGCATACAGTATGGTTTGAAATTTAGTGGCTGTGTTTGTTACATTAATCAATGATTTTCTGCTGCTTGCAAGATGAAATCGTAACTTCTTTTTCATGGAAGAGGCTCTTCATGATCTGGTCCATCACCTCCAGGGACAGCTTTATCTCTTACAACTCAACCTCCAACTTTTATGCTCCAGCAATGCCAGCTGTGCCTCTCATACCTCTGAGCCTTTGAATAGGGACTTCCTGTCTGGAATGAACTCTTTAAATTTGACCACTTGGCAAACTCCATCTCACTCTTCAGAGATATGCTCCTCTACTCAGTTTCCAAGTATTTACTGAGAGTCTTCCTTGGCACTATGATTGGTACTGGATACTACTATTTCTCTTCTCTAACATTATTGTAGGACCTCCCCACAAGACTTCAGTATTTTTTTCATTACAAATCTATAGTTTATGGCTATTTCCATTTCACAAACTGTCATATTATAATTATTTCCAGGTCTGTCTTAGCAACACATCATGTGTCCTTGAGAGCAGTGACAGTATCTTTTTGCCCCTTTGAATCACTCTAGCAGAGGGATTCAATAAGTATTTGCTGAATAAATACTATTGTTGTTCATTACTCAAATACTATTATTGTCCATTAATTCAACTGAATAAATATTAAGCTGAGCAACTACCATGTACTCAGTGAGCATTAGAGATTCAAAGGTAAGTAAAATACTGTTCTTGCCCTAAGTTCTCATTTAGTGACAGAGACAGATGTACTACCTATGAATGAAGTATGTGATTGAAGTGCAATAGGAAAAAAAGAAAATATTCTGCCAGGAAGAAAGATGTGCTTTTCTCCCATATGCTTCAGAGTCTTTCTTCTCTCCTAATTTCAATTAAATTCAAACAAATATTTACTGAGCAGTCAAATGTTTCCACCTATATGATCAATCACCATGAATGTGATAAATGTTGCCATCAGTGATATGATTTCCCAAAATGGTGAACAATTCTTGGTAGAGTTCCAAGCAAAACAAGGTACAATCTTCCTTCAATAATACAGTAGTTTTATTCCTGGAAAACTCAACATTTAATTAAAATCCTGCAAAAAATTCCATATGTATATGTGAAACTAAGTTAGACTCTAGGCTCTGACAGCTATGAACAGATTTTTTTCACCTATTTAACTCCCTAATGGGATA